CATCAAGTGTGAACTTATGAACCTGCATTTGAGAGTTGGCCAGAAGCTATGGTTTATAGTTCATTGTTTTATTTCAGAAGACATTGGGTCATCTACTGGAGTCATATGGTTATACCACCGTGCTCATTTTGCATGGTTTTTACGATGTGTCGACTCTGAGAGACCCATCTGCTTGCATTATATGGACTTACAGAGATTAATTATTTCTCTAAAAATCTCTGTTTGTGCTCCACAGAAGAAAGAAAGCCATATACATCTAGGACGGCATGAGGGGAAGTAAATGATGAGAGCATTTTTGGGTGGGGGATGCCTTTAATTAGTCTAAAAAAAGATTATGGTGATTTTCTTGGTTTCTTCTTTATCAAAAAACATGGATGTGCATATAATATTAATGTGCATTTATAGATTCTATTTGCATTTATATTATGTGGCACTAAAATGATGGATTGAGCCTGCAATGACAAGTTGTACTATTGTCTTATGAAGGTATATTTTAAAGGAGCAGTTCATCCCAAAATTTTAATTTTGCCATTAATTATTAAACCTCAACTTTATTTCTTCTATGGAACACAATTTAATTACAGTAAATGAGGACTGAGGCTTTCAAGCTTCAAAAGGACTCAACAATTGATCCATATGACTTGTGTGCTATATTTCATGTCTTCTAAAGCCATACAACAGCTCTGTGAATTTAGATCATTATTCACTGAAAATCATTTTTATTTAATATAAAATTCACAAACAGTTCAAATTATTTGCCATGTTCTTGTTCCTTGTCAAAGTGGGTGGTATTGATTAAATTATGCATCAAATAAAAATACATAAGCCTGAATATCCACATAAAGATGGTCAGGTAAGAGCATCTCAATCACTGCACACCTCATCAGGAATTGAGGCACAGTCATTCTGTTAACTCCATAACGGCTGTCGAAAAAAGGTGACTTAAAGGCACAATATGTAAGATTTTTTTATTAAAATATCCAAAAACCACTAGAACAGTGTTACATATTTTGCTGACTTGTGTACTTACATTATCCCAAATGTTTCGAAGAATGTTTAAATCCAGAGAAATAAGCAATTTTAACTAGTGGCACGGACCGTGTCTATAGTGTCATTGTGTCGCCTGCCAATGACATCATAACTCTCGATTTGTGTGTTTTAATAGACCGGTGACGACCGCACAGAGTAGCATTACTGTGTGTCACGCTCGTTCAGCGGCCTTGTTTCGCTTCGACGGCTTTCAGCCTCACCCTGCTTCATTCTACTACACTAATAAATCATTAGCTCATCCATGAATATGATTTCTGCCCGAGTCCCATCAGATTGCATCGGCTGTGGGGATGAAGACCACAACTCCCATGATTCCACACTCAGTCACGGCGTCATCAAACTACGTCTTTGTCTCTTTGTTTATTTTGAATACGCGCCCTCTAGCGGCGAAAATGACATATTGTGCCATTAAAGCAGCATTTATTGTGATTTAACTTATTTTCCATTGTTTCCAAGACCATTATGCACACAATTTACCTCTGAGCTGTCTGGTGTAACAACTATGAGTATGTTTTGGTGTGTTGGTGGCAAATTCATATGAATTTTTATGATTTGAAAAAAAAAAGTGAGTATTATTTTGTAAGCATTCTTGGATAGGACTTTTAAGAAGTATAATTTCAAAGCTCTGTAAAATGTTTTCTTTAGAATCACTATTCCAAAATGTGCCTTTACAAATGACAATTTTACAGATGATGTTTTATGATGATTAAGAATAATAATAAATGTAGGATTCGTTTATCAAGATTCTTCAACATTTGAGGGGTTTTTTTGGAATCTGTTCAAAATATCTATTTTTTTCTAGTATATACTGTTCACTAAAACATTATTTCAGAAATGTGTATTATTACAATGTTCAAGTGTGTGAATGGCAATCCAAAAATGCACACAAGAGATCCAAGTATAAGGTGTGATAGCTGACCAAGAACTGGATCACTTGGCATGTCAGAGGTGAGCTCAATTTGTATTTTTTTTTACTTTGTGCCCGGATATGGTATGCGCAGATAAGCACATGGATAACAAACCTGTCTAATAAACCTGCCATTGTGTATTACAAATAGTGTTGGCTCTTTTACAAACTACTTTATTCTTTCTCTTTTGTAAGTTGCTATTTGATAAAAGTGTCTGCTAAATGCATAAATGTAATTGTAAATGGATAACTTGAATGTGGATAAGCAAATGGATATCATATGTGTGGATAAGAACATAGGTACATCAATCATAACAAAACCTGAAGGAAGCACTACAGATCCATCTCCCATATCATCATGGAGAAATAAAAACCTTGCATGTCAGCAACCACTACTAGATCTGTATTACCAGTTATTATTTCCAGACAGGCTATTTTCTTGATGAACTAGGTATGTATTCAGATTGAAATAAGTAAAAGTTTTGATACCACACTATGACAACACTCCATTGTGTTCCTGTATTCAATTATTATTGTATTATTATGTAGAAACAAATGTAAAAGTACACATTGTGCAATGGTTCCTGACAGTGTATGATATTTTTGGATTTATATAACTGCTACATAAATGTGGCATGCTAGGTGTTGAGATCATTTTAACTATTTTATATACTGTTGGGTAGCCAGGAAAAATATACATAAAAAAATTAATTGATTTGAATTTTAAAATCCCATGATCTGTCTTCTAATAAACCCCATTTTTAGTAAATGTAAAAAGAATTTCTACAGTCCTGCAGATGTCTCTGCAATGTGGTAATTCTGACAGTGATGCAGTTCAGTGACACATATCTTTCGGTGTTTTGGCGGTGACTACATATTCGATTGCACCGTTAACAGCCTACAGCCTAAGGCTGCATCTTTAGTGCTTAAAGTCTATGTTGATATATAAGATGCACCAAAAAAAAAAAAGTCTGGAAACACTTTTTAAAGAAAAAGAGCAGTACACACAACATGTTGGCTGCCATGATACTGCTCCCATTAAAGCACTGGTTCTCTGCTATGTTAAAGGGTGTGTTAAAGCTATATTAATATTATTAAACTGTATTTGCAAAACTATTTTATTATTATTGATAAGAATAATACATGTTACCTCTCAAACATCACTAATTTCTGTAATTGTGTCAAATATTTTCCTTGGTTAAACATCTTGATTTGATGTTTTCTTTATTTTGTAATGTTGCAAGTTAAAATGTTTTATTTTGTTCTAAACTGCATTCTATATAAATTTGCAATAGACTGTGTTGAATGACATAGGCAGTAAAACTAGTTACTGTTAAACCAGTAAACATTGATTTGCAATCCTGCAGAATTACGCCATCAAAACAGAAATAGAATACAGTTTCACAAATAGAAACACAGCCAAATGTTTGAAAGGACACATCCCAGAAATATTTGTCGATATATAGATTTAGAGTGATAATAGTAATTATTTTTCTGCATCACTCATCATATTTCAGTCTGGTCTGGTCTGGTCTTGGACTTACACACTTATACTGATGCTCCTTGATTTAATTGTGTTGCATGTTGTGTTTAATGCACAATTATGTATATGTAAATATTCAGAGTCTAAATTTACATTTACATTTATTCATTTAGCAGACGCTTTTATCCAAAGCGTCTTACAATTGAGGAATACAGTAAGCGATTCATCATAAAGAGGCAAATAAATGAGGAAGTGCTTGCAATACAAAGTTTCAGGCATTGTTCAGATTAGTACAAGCTAGACAGGGAGAGATTAAGGAAACAGAAAGCAAAGTTTTTTATTTTATTTATTTATTTATTTACAATATTTGCTAGTAAAACTACCAAGTGGAGGTACTATGCACTGTAAAAAATGACTGTGAATTTAACGGTAAAAGACTGTAAAAATGCTACAGTAAAAACCTGTTAAATGGTTAATGGTAAATTCCCCTACTATATACGGTGAAAAACTGTATTGGACATTACATGTATTGGACATTAATTTTACGGTAGTATACCGTTTTTGGAAGTGAAAAAGACTGTATAATTTACAGTGAATAACCGTAAATTGACGTTCCCAGAATTCCCTGCGTTACATTTCAAATGTGATGTTTTTTTGTTGAAATAACTATGTTTCTTCTTAGTTTTTTCTTATCAGTTTTGTATATTAGGGTTGTGTGTTACACCTAATGTTGTTAAATTAATGTTTATTGCATTATTTCAGTTTCATGTGTGTTACCGTGATGGTGTTTAGTGTTTGTGTGAATTACACTGTGCACCTTCTATATATGTTATTATTTAAAAGCTTTGGTTTGACTTTGGTTCATCATGTGACTTTCTCATCACCTCCTGCATTTGGTGGTTATCAGTGTATTACAAAGGTACAAAACAGATTTCAGTACTTCAATAGGTTGGTATATTAACATTATATCAGTTAATGAAATTACGGTATTTAACTGTAAATTTAAGTTAAAACCGTAAAACCTAAAACGTTGCTAAAACTTATTTTTTACGGTAAAATTCCGGCAACCACAGCTGCCGTTTTTTTACCGTAAATTTTACAGTGTGGTTTTGAGGGATACCAGTCCACGGCTCTACCACTGTAGAAAGTGTGATTACAATATTTTATGTATTGACTTTTTGCTATGCACTTATTTACAGCAATTTATAATAAAATTATAAATAAGTCTCTAATAAACTAAATAGCATGTTTCCGGGTTTGCTGTGCTGCATGGGGATAGCCTACTCCAATCACTCCCAAAAAGGAGTAGGGCAGGCTATATATTTCCCCACAGACAAAAAAATGTTGAGACAGGAGTAAACATACTTGAGTATTTTCACTTTTTCACGAAGTTCCCACACACTATTGGGAAGTTTAGTTTTAGGTTGACTAGAAATAAGGAACAGGGAAAGGCTTACAAAACAGGGAGCTGAGACTGATTAAAAGGGGCCAGGAAGGACGTACGCGATTATATTATCAATATGCATGAGGTAAACCTTCATCATAGTAGGATTCGTATCGTTTCGAACATAGATGTAACGCCAGTAAACGCACACGCAGTGCATTATGGGAACGAAAATGGAAGGTGAGAGACAACATAACGCAAACTTGACTCGTTTTGAGGAACTTTGAGCTTTAATAGTTGCGCTGAGGAAAACAACACAATGCAGAGGGTGATTTTGTTTAGCAGTGCTTTCAGAGCGATCCTGACAGGATCCGGCGGACTTCACGCGCGCTATTCTCGCTGCTCGAGACGTGAGAATGTGTGCAGGACTCAGCTTAGAAAACACTCTCGAGATCAACCTAGCGATAATACAGTACACTTTCGCTGTTTCAGCTTACCGCACAGGACTCTCATCAGTGTGTCCGGACAAGACACGACCTCATTTCTTCAAGGAATAATAACCAATGACATGGCTCTTCTGGAAGAGGATGCAGTGTGTGTGATGTATGCTCACATTCTCAGTGTTCAAGGCAGGACACTGTACGACATCATCCTTTACAGGTAATATACTACATTGCTTTAATATTTTTGGTTAGTTTGAATTGTAAAGTAGACACGGAATGTCATGTTTAATACCGCAGTAAAGATAGTTTGCGGTTTGATATTCAGATTTCTTTTGGCTATAAATACGCAGCGCATTCTGATCTGTGAAAACTTTCACAGTTCCGTTTGGGTCAGCTGACCCTTCCCTGAGTCACTAACATCACTATTCTGATATGTGAAAACTTTCACAGTTCCGTCTGGGTCAGCTGACCCTTCCCTGGGTCATCTACATCACTATTCTGATCTGTGAAAACTTTCACAGTTCCGTTTGGGTCAGCTGACCCTTCCCTGAGTCACTAACATCACTATTCTGATATGTGAAAACTTTCACAGGTCCGTTTGGGTCAGCTGACCCTTACCTGGGTCATCTACATCACTATTCTGGTCTGTGAAAACTTTTACAGTTCAGTTTGGGTCAGCCTTCTTCTTCTTCTTCTTCTACATTTTGATCTTTGCACATTTTGATGATTTATGGTGGCCATAAAGAGTCGCTATCCTTCTTTGAAGTGTTAAAGTTCTGCCAGCGTTAATTTATGTCAGTAATTACATTGAATTTTCAGCTTCTTATAATGCCTTTATATGCATATAATTATATTATTTATACATCTATATGTATATATACATGTGCATATATTGCTGTAGATTTAATTATTGTTATTGTTATTATTATGATTATTATTATTTGTATTGTTTTTGCGCATTTAAAGTAGCCGTGAAGAGTCGCTGTCCTTCTGTGAAGTGCTGAAATACTGCCGGCGTTATGTCGTTTATATATATAAATGTAAATATATATATATATATATATATGTGTGTGTGTGTGTGTGTGATTATTACTCTTTTATCCTGCAATGTATCTACAAAAATATAGTATATAAATCAGTCCCTATATCTTTATTATTTTTGCTTATTTCATATTTTTGTATTTATTTGCTTAACTACATTTTGTTTTTCTTCATTCTTCACCCGCTCCCATTTTTATGTATGTATGTGTGTATGTATGTATGTACAGTGGGTATCGAAATAATGACCCCCTTTAATATATTCACAAATGAAGATGGACAGTTTTTGTTTTGTTTATTGAACTGTGAAAGTTTTCACAGATCAGAATAGTGATGTACATGACTCAGGGAAGGGTCAGCTGACCCAAACTGACCTCTGAAAGTTTTCACAGATCAGAATAGTGATGTGCATGACCCAGGGAACGGTCAGCTGACCCGTACTTACCTTTGAAAGTTTTCACATATCAGAATAGTGATGTGCGTGACCCAGGGAAGGGTCAGCTGACCCGTACTTACCTCTGAAAGTTACCACAGATCAGAATAGTTAAGTTAAGGGCTCAGGGAAGGGTTAAATGACAAAAACTATACTGTGAAACCTTTAGCAAAACAGAAAATAGATGCCAAGGACTCATAAAAGGTAAGGTAAAACAACCAAACCTTTATATTGTGAAAGATTACACAAATCACAATAGTCTATTAGAGCCGTGTATGATTTATCTAATGGCTTGGAAAACCATTATTCACTGGAACAGCAACATATGACATTATGACAGAAGAAAAAAAGAGCAGTGCAAAGAGAAACAAAGACACGCGATAAACTGCGTTGGGGAAAGTTTTCACAAATCGAGTTTGACCTAAAACAATGTTTTTGTATTTAAAGAAATCTGAATATCAAACCGCAAACTATCTTTACTGCGGTCATATTAATGTGATTTTAGAAGTGCTGGAGTTTTGTGAATAAGGTTAGTAAGATGTGGGCGTGACCTCAGCATTATCTCACTGTCCCACCCTGGACTAATTTACAGATATGAAGTTGTTCTTCTGCTCTGTTCTTCTACATGTCAGTAAAGCCAGCATGGTTTAGCAGTTCATAAAAATCATAAGGAGTTGATATGCAAAGTGGCTTACAAATTAGAATAATATATGTCATCAAATGCATAATTCACCCAAAAATGAAAACTTGCACTGATCAATTTGTTGTTTTGAAAAAGCGTCAATATTTTACCATTTTACTTTAGGGGTGCATGGTAATGGTTAAACTGATAATCACAACATTTAATCATGATTATTGTCATTCGAGGAATTTCAATAAGAATTATTGCACTTTCACATAAGTACAAATCAAGAAAACGTCAACTTAAATGCATGGCCAAATACACAAAATAATGTTCTTTTTAGCAACATCATATGACCCCTTTAATTTCCTTCATCTAGTTTCCTGATTTATTATGTTTAGCCTATCACATACTGCATTGAAAGCAATGTAAAACCAACAATTCTCTCAAAAGCGAAACCTTCAAATATTAACTCAAACCTATTCTATTAAGACAACAAAATCTATTAAAACAACAACAATAATAACTTTGTGACACAGAAGTTGCACAAGTACATCTTTCAGCAGCAACAATCGCAAACAGTTGAAATCATTAAAGTTCATTACCGAGACGTTTTTTTAGACGTTTTAACCGAAGGCAAAAAGAAGTGTAAAAATTGCTAGTAAATTTCACAAATAAATAGCAAGTAACACAACATTACATTTTGAAGTAGAAAAACATTTTTAGAGATCTTTAGAGAATCTGTGCTAAACAAACGAGTTTTGCAGGTTTTTCATGTATGTATTAATGGAACTTTTTTTTGTTATTCAGTTTAAAAGGGAACCCAGATGGATTTAATGGTGTACTTCTGGAGTGTGACAGCACTGTACAGGACTCCATTATGCAGCTTCTGAAAGTTTACAAGATACGTCGCAAAGTAAACTTCAGCTTGTGTCCCAGTCTCTCACTATGGGCTCTGTTACCTCAAAATAAAGCTGCAGTACTGGGGCAGTCAAAGCCGGATGTTACTGCAGCAGATAAAGTGTTAGTACTGGAGCAAGACCCAAGAACTGAACTCGTGGGCTGGAGAATGATCACTAGCTGTCAGAATAACCCACATGAGATCATCTCTGCTTGTCGAGAGGGCAACACTGAAGAATACCACAGACATCGCTATGAAATCGGTATTAAACCACTTGTATTATTACTTAGAATAATCTTGACAAGCTGATGCATGTGTTGATCATCTACATTGTTCTGGACTTAAACATGCAGTAGTTCTCCGTCTTCTTAAGAAAGTGGATATGGATAATTGACATGTTAAGTGTTAAGCTAGTGTAACTAGCTATACTTCATCTAAATCTATTTTAGATAAATTCATCTCACGCTATTTGATATAAATGATTCAAGCAGCTTTATGACCTCAACTAAATTGAATGATGCTATACAATTTATTTTTACTTTTAAAAGTACTTTAAAAATTAATTTGTCACACTGCTGGACCATGCAAGTAAATAATATAAAAAAGATCAGTCAAAAACCTAAAATATAGATGTTCCCTAATGCATACACCACTAGTGAGTAGTTATAGTTATTATTATTATTATGTAGCTACAACAAATGTAAACGGATCTAATATATTAGCTTCTTCAAAACTGCCATCTTTTGTCTAGATTAGGCTTTTCTCAATGATCTGAGATGCTTATTAAACACTACCTAAAAAATAATAATAACAATCAAGTTTATTAAAGAAATTCATATGCTGGCACAGTTTATATTTGTCTATAAAACTAATTTGAGCTTTTAAGCACAACATTTTAGATCAACTATTTAGAAGAATAAATTCAGTTAAATGTGTCCAAGCTTATGACTTGTACTAGTTCAAATATGAATATAAATTGTAGATATTGTTCCACTTTTTGACAGTCATTTTGATGTGGAAAAGTAGCATAATTCATGATCTATAAGTTTTTACCTGAAGACAGTGACTTTACAGGCTACTATACCTGACTGGTGGCCAAAAAAAAAGTAAAGATTAATGAATCAGCAACACTAGAAAAGTCAAAGGCCCACCTGAATGAATTGTGATGCAGATAATACTTTAGTTAATTAAAAAAAATTTAAACTATAACTTTCACACAAAAATCTGATGACAATGTTTTAGTTGACACCTTAAAATAAAATGTTTAAAAAATGTTTGTTATTTAAAAAGCTCCTTGAAATACTCTTACCTTGGTTTTGTTTAAAATAAATGGGTGCCAAATTTCCCCTATGTGGTATCCAACAATTATATATGTGACCCTGAACCATAAAACCAGTCTTAAGTGTCTGGGGTATATTTTTAGCAATAGACAACAATACATTGTATGGGTCAAAATTATCGATGTTTCTTTTATGCCAAAAATCATTAGAATATTAAGAAAAGATCATGTTCCATGCAGATATTTTATAAATTTCCTACCATAAATATATCAAAAGTTAATTTTTGATTAGTAATATGCATTGCTAAGAACCTCATTTGGACAACTTTAAAGGCGATTTTCTCAATATTTAGATTTTTTTGCACCCTCAGATTCCAGATTTTCAAAGAGTTGTATCTCTGCCAAATATTGTCCTAACAACCATACATCAATGGAAAGCAATGGTTATTCAGCTTTCAGATGATGTATAAATCTAAATTTCAAAAAATTTAACCATATGACTGGTTTTGTGGTCCAGGTTGCATAAAGCAAACACATTACTGAAATTTTAAACACGAATAAGAAACATCTAAAACATTGTTTTATCATCTTGGATATAGCACTGGAAGGAGCATGTCAACATCTTTAATGGAGAAGTCCAAGTTTGTGTGCTTATAACCTAATATTTGTCATCAGTGTTGGGGGTAACGCATTACAAGTAACGTGAGTCACATAATCAGATTTCTTTTTCAAGTAACTAGTAAAGTAATGCATTAATTTTAAATTTACAACAAAATATCAAGTGTTACTTTTTCAAATAAGTAACGCAAGTTACTTACAAGTTGCCATGTTGAGAGAAACTGGGAGTGAAGTGCAGAGGCACTTCCTTCAGCCTGAGGCTTATTAATTTCACTTTTGGTGTGAAAGGACCTTTATAGTTGCCAAAAATATAACTGTTTTTTGTAACGCCAAATTACATTTTACGGGGTAACACAATATTGTAATGCATTACTTTTAAAAGTAACCCCAACACTGTTTGCCATAGTAAAAATATAATGACAGCATAAACAGCAATTAAATAACACAAATATGTTGTTAAAAGAATTTATTAACATTTGCCATAGCTGATCTTCCACATACAGTATAGCTTTTATACAATGGTTCGAACAGCCTCTCTGATCTCCTGAAGCAGTTCCTCAGGTTTGAAGCTCAGAGTTGAAGGGTCTAGTCTCTTCAAGTCTTCGTTGCTAAGCATGCTCTCAAATATATGCAATATTCTCTGAAGGTCAAAGGCCGCATGCTGAGGGCCTAAGGCAAACAGACTTTCGGCAAGGTGGTCTTGGCAATTATCTGCATTTCTGGGACATGCATTTAAAAAGGACATTCGATTATTTGCAATAGTCTTAAGGAAAGAGGCAAACTCCCCATAATCGATTCCTGTACACGATTTCATGATCACCTGAAAACGAACATAAATCAATGTATTACCACAGGAATATTACAATGATGTTTACAGGATTATGATTTTTCAGTAGTACTGCAGCACATAGCGAGTCTTTATTAGCCACATTTGTTGGACTTAAAAAGGTGATGACTGATGCCAAAAATAAAAAAGTTACCTGACAATGCTGATGCCAGCTATCCATAGTATCACGCCATTCCTCGATTTCTCTCTGGACAGAAGAAAGTTCTTCTTGCAGAAACTGCCACATGATATCCAAATTACAGCCATTCAGCCAGTTATGATTGATGGAAATGGTATCCTCCTATTATTAAAAGATGCATTATTTAAACTTGAGTTAGCAAGTTGGTCAAGGAAGATTTTTCTCTTTAGGGGCTGGAGAACCAAAAGAGTTTGATACTACAGTCTTTCATAAAAATGTCAAAGATAACTTCTAGTACAGAGGTGTCCAATCCTGCTCCAGTTATCAAGGTCTTCAGGATTACAAGACTGCACTCCAGAGATAGATTACTTACACATTGTAATCCGTTATTGATTCCACATTACATGACAAAAACTGTAGTTAGTATCGTAATTCATTACATTACACATTTCAGGTAATATAATCAGACTACTTTTGAACACATTGATTTAAATAGGATAATCTTGTACCATATAGATATAAAAATGCAT